AGAAGGCCAGTGGCCCAAAGGCAGAGGGGACATGAAGGCAGAAGCCTCAGCTGAGCATGCTTACCTGCCTGAAAAGAAGAGCTAGAGTGTCCTGCAAGAGACAAAGATGAGTATGCCTGCGAGAGCCAGCTGTGCAGATGCTAGGGCAGCCCCACACCCCCACCATGGCTGTCTGCCCCCTGGCTCAGCACACAGCTGCCAGGACCCCCCTTCCCAGGCAGGTATGCCCCCCAGCTGCCTTCCCCTCCTTCAGGCCAGCACCTCACATACCTGCTGCTGCTGAGCCATGGCTACCTGGAGAGACAGCGCTGTCAAGAGTTTGCCTGAAGTGTTTGGGGAGGGAAATGTCAAGTCTGCAGGGCTTCAGGCCATGTTGCCAAAGCAGGGCTGCCTGCAAGATTCCCCATTGCCTGCAAGCAGACAGGGGAGAGCTGCCCTCTTACATCTCCAGCAGCTCTCAAGCCTGGCCCCAACACCCTGCCAAAAGCATTAAGGGAAAGGAAGGAAAAAGAACCACAGCCCATGTGAAAACCTCACTGAGTCCAGCTAGAAACCCCCACCATGGCTGCCACCACCCAGGAAGTGGGCAGGCAGGGAACAGAGCACCCCAGCACCCCATGACCACACCAAGCCCTGCAGGAGACCCTGAAGAGGGGCATGGGGCGAGTCTGTCAGGCAGCAACCACAGGGACAGCTGCCTGCGGCAAGTTGGTGAACAGCTCCCTGGGAGGAGGCAGCTGGCCATTGCCAGCCTCCATTGCCTCAGCCTCAGTGGCTGGAAGCTTTGGAACAGCTTCTGCAAGAAAGTAGTGAAAGAAAGGCTTAGATGCAAATGGAAAACATGATAAAGTATCTAACAAACAGGTTTACCAAAGATAGAGCATGCCAACCTAACCTGATATCCTTCTTTGATAAGTGATATTCTAGACAAAAGAAAATACAGTAGACTCTCTCTCCTGATGTCAGTGAAGCATTTGATGTGGTGCCATGTGGGAAATTGCTAGCCAGACTAAGACCACAATGATTAAAAGCCTATGGCTGTTAGTGAGCTGGCTGCAGGTGGGAAGCGCCCTGCACCACGGTGTGTGGTTACTGAGGCATTGCCCAAAGGCCTGTGACCAAGCCTGTGTGCTGTTCCTATCAGTCACCTTGATATAAGGTGTAGGAAATGCCATCAAAACAGAAAAGGAACAGGATGTTGGACAGAAAAACCCTAGCGATCTCAGAGAGCAGCAACGGGCAAGAATTCAACAATGTAGAGAGATGGTCACACCTGAGGGTTAACAGGAATTTCTACTCATCACTGGAAACCACCAACACAAGAAAGGCCTTCAAGGACAGAGGATGGGCAGATGGGGATGCATTGGGCAGGGGACCGTGTTGCCCCACTGGCAGAGCGCAGCCTTTGGGAGGGGTCCCCTGCATTGCCCTTTCTGCATGTCTTTGCACTTGGCAGTGGGGTACTCGCTGCAAGCCTGTAC